TGTATTCTTATTTCCTAACAACTGGGTTAGAATCCAATTTGGGGAACTCAATCCATCTGTAAGCAGGGGACTGCCAAGGTCTAACTCAGGAACATTTTTATATTAGGAGTTCATTTAGACCCAAACAAGTAGAAGCTGAACAACCTTCCTAAAGTAATTCCAATACACTTGTCTGCTCGGGAATAGAGCTTATCGAGAAGTGGTCAACCTTAGCATTTTTGCAACTTCTTTTCCCTTTGAAAAATGACTTCATTTGAATTTCTGAAGACAGCACAGAAGTGATTCATTTTCCCCATAACACATGGATTGGGAGTTATTTTAATGTGTTTGCTACAAAATTTAAGTCTGCAGTTGCCCAAAGGGTTTTTGAAATCTACCAGTTTTTGTTCCTACAGTTCTAGCTGTTTCTCAGGCAAGACCGTTCCTGTCCTAACTGGTCCTAATGGAAAGAAAGAGTCAGGTAATCTGGCAGTACGGAGGCTCCTCAAAAGATTAAAAATAGAACTACCGTATGACCCAGTAATTCCACTACTGGGGACTTACCCAAAAGAAATGAAAACTAATTCAAAAAGATATATGAACCCCTATGTTTATTGCAGCATTATTTACAATAACCAAGACATGGAAGTAACTCAAGCGTCCATCGACAGTTGAATGGATAAAGAAGATATGATACATATATACAACAGAGTATTACTCAGACATAAAAATAAGAATGAAATCTTGCCATTTGCAACAACGTGAATGGACCTAGAGGGTGTAATGCTAAGTGAAATAAGCTATCATATGATTTCGCTCATATGTGGAATTCAAGAAACAAACGAATACACAAAAAAAGAGACAAACAAAAAAACCCAGACTGTTAAACACAGAGGACAAACGGGTGGTTGCCAGAGGGGAGGTGGGGCGGGGGGGATAGGTAAAATAAAGGGGATTAAGAGTACACTTACCTTGCTGAGCACTGAAAAACATACAGAATTATTGAATCATTATATTGTACACCTGAAACTAGCATAACACTGTATGTTAGTTATACTCGAACACAAAAACAAATAAATAAAATTTTTTTTAAAAAATCAGGCAGTTTGGGAAATATTTCTCCATGCACCCAAAATTCATCAAAGGTATATTTAGGAATTTTCAGAATATCGTTAGGAATGGTAGAGGCTGGCTTTATTTTTAGGGGTTGGCAAGTCCTTTTACTCTATTTTATATAAATTAGACAACAGTCTAATCCAATGAACTCTCAACTGTGTGCGCATCACCAGGCTTCTTTTAAAGATGTATAATCTTTTTATATAATTAGTTCAGAAAATACAGGGGTTTGGAAGTACATGGGTGTATTCTACCAATTTTCATCACTTTTAAAATACACCCTCATTTACTTTTTTCTACCCCTCAAAAATAAAAGCTAAATATCCCTCCCTGGTAGCAAACACAAGCCATATAGCTTCTGTCCAGGGTGACAACACAGAGAGAAGCACGAAATGCTTGCCCACGAGCCGATGGATACTCCTGGAGGCTGTAAGCAAAAGCCTAGGTTTCTCCTCCAGGAGACCATACGCCCGACAGTCGCCAGACTATATTTATCCCGGGGCTTCTGATCTGAATCTCCCTTGTGAGAGGGCACTGAAGGCCCCAAACGTCACATGAGAGGCATGAAGAGAAGATTTCAAGCCTCTAAAATTCTCCTCTCATCCCATCGTAAGATCCTTTAGCCTCTCAGACTATCATCTCGGGCCAGTTCCTTAACTTTCTAAGTAAGCTTCAGTCTCCTCATCTACAAAAAAGAAATCAATGTAGCCATCTACTTTGGGGACAGAGAAGATTCGGTTCACTGATATGAGAGAAATAACTTCTTTCAGTGTCTGGCACATGGTGAGCCATTCAATAAATTCTAGTTCTCCCCCTAACTTTTTTGTTCCAGATTCTCATTGTATTTTTATTTATTTATATTTTTGAGAGAGAGAGAGGGGGGGGGTGCAGTGAGCTAGAGGTAGAGAGAGAGGGAGAATCGCATGAGGGGCAGAGAGAGAGAGAGAGAAAGGGAGAGAGAGAAAGGGAGAGGGAGAGAGGGAGAGGGAGAGGGAGAGGGAGAGAAAGAGAGTCAAGCCCCCTAGTGTGGGACTCGAACTCACCAACCGTGAGATTATGACCTAAACCTAGGTCAGATGCTTAACCGACTGAGCCACCCAGGCAGGCACCCCAGGTTCTCATCTTAAACTAAAATTTCAAAAACTCTATCTGCTGGGGCTTCCAGTTCAAGGTGAGTCACTGAACACTGGCATCTGCTTTCCCTCCCTCGTTCTGCTTCTTCTGCCATGCCTTCCACTACACTTGAGATGTCAACCAAATGGAAATAAAGGAATAAATCCATAACAGCAAAGAGAACAAGAGAGGGACCACCATTGGCCATTTCAGTGAAGGGAACACCACCTCCGACTGATGACAGCCTCACCAGCCTCCAGCATGAGAGAGAGAAATAAAGTTGGGCACAAAGGAAGGAAGTGGCTGGGAGCAGTCTCCTCCGAGTGGCAACAAAGTCACGACTCGGGAGCTGCAAAGAAGGACAACAATCCTAATATGCAGTGTAAAAACAGACTATTAGTTTTCAAACTTTAAAATCCACTCATGGAAGATTTCGATGTAAGCATAGGACAGAATGCAGTATTGTCGACCTTGACTTGAGGATGTGTGTAGTGCGTTAGGAGCAAGGGCTCTGGAGCTAGGGTCTGGATTTCAAGCCCAGCTCTGTCTTCTTGAAATGACTCTCAAGTAAAGACCAGAGGGAGTGGGGCGTGTGCATACTGGGAGGAAATGCATTCCAGGCGTTAGGAACAGCAAGGACGAGGAAACTGAGGCAGAAGGAAATCTGGTGCGTTTGAGCAGCAGGCACGTCCCTCAATGCGGGAACGTAGTAAGTTATGAGATCAAACGAATGCAGTTGCAGCCACTAGAAAAAACAGAATGCTATCAAAATTCAATAGGGATGAATGAATACACAGTCAAGAAGTAGCATATTGTCTAAGGATATTAGCTAAGCGTTATTTGAGGTGGCCACCGGAAGAACTGGAACTGAAAACTACTAACAGCGGATGTGACTCTAGGAAGTTGTCCTGGGGATGCGAGAGGAGGCAACAGCTCACTTTATTATTAAATCTTCTGCACAACAACAACAACAAAAACCCGTGTGCATATCATTTTACTTTTATAAAAGGGAAATGAAATTAAAAACTCTCCGAGTGGAAAAAAACGTATTTGTCTGCAATGAAAGTGATCATAACAGAATTTGCATGATTTATACGCCCCTGAAGTAACTCAACAGCAAGGATGTCCCAGGTGGACTCTTTGCCTTTGAGGTTTTGCCTATTCCCGAAAAAGCTTTTCCATGCTTCTGCGATTTTCTTGGAAAACAGATTATGCAAATTACTTCACACACTTCTGTTGGTACAGCCCCATGGCTGCCACATTGTCTGCTCTGAAACTCTTTAGTCTCTCCAGTCTTCTAGAAGCTACAGATGCGAGTTGGAGAACAGGTGAGCTACACACCCAAGGAGAAGATGAAAAAGACATGCAGCTGAAGAGCGGAACACGAAAGAAGGTCTTTGAAAGTGTCCTGGGCCCACAGTGCCTGCAGAAGACCAGAGGAAGGAAGCTGCTACATCTGGTTAACTGTGCGGCATTATCACAATCCCAGCAGCGCTCATGGTATCACTACCACTTCTAGAGGCTGCTCATCATAGAGGTGTCGCTGCCACGCTTTTACAGGATACGCAAAATACAGACGAGTTAACACGCTAATAACCAGAAAATCGTTTTTTGAGTTAACGAGGAGCCAAGCTAGATTTCCCCCTCTTTTAATTAGAACCTGAAGATCTAGTTGCCTAATAGCCAAGGCCATGATAAATACAAGATTCAGAATTGTGGTTAAAGATCAGATGGAGACTATCCAGATGGAAAAGGGGAAGAAGTCTGATGCCACGATATTGTCGATGCTCCAGTTTCTAAGTTGGGGGGTGGGTCACAGCGTATATTATTATTTCCCTGTGGAATACGTGTATTCTTTTGTGTGTGTCAGATATTAGTAATGCATTTTTAAGGAAAAAAATATGTTGCCTGAGAAAGAGACATCTATCACATTACTCCACAATATCATTCCGTTTCTTAATGACATTAAGTTATAGCTTCTTTGGGTTTTTGTGTTTGTTTGGTTTTGGTTTTTTATCATTTTTAGGTTCCTGCACAGACGTTTCAGTACTTCAAGAAAATACCATGAAGAGTGTGGTGGAAGGTACAGGGATTTAGAATCAAACCAACTCAAGTTCAATACTTGTGGTCTCTAAAACTCTCAAGTTTTCAGCTGCTGATTTTTATTCTTACAGCTACTGCTCCTTTTTCGCCTGTTCACACGCATTGCCCTGACTGTCAACATTTACAATCTTTCCCAGAAAGGCACCTTCTTCCTATAAACTCTAGTCTGGAGAATGGCACGTATCGTGGTCACAACTGACTTCAGAAACAGTCACTTCTGCCACAGGCAATGCCACAATATCTTTCCCATGGGCAACTGCACCCACCCCCATGCTGAATCCTAGATCCTAGAGCCTCAGCGTGGGCTGCCTGAACCCTGGACTTCTGCTTGCCCTGCTGGGAGAGGCCAACACACAGGCTTAGGTTGGCAGACATTCAAAGACACGACCTGAACATTTAGAAGACTGTCAGTCTAAGAATTCTTGTTAAGCCGGGTGCCTGGGTGGCTCAGTCAGTTGAGCATCCGAGTTCAGCTCAAGTCATAATCTTACAGTTTGTGAGTTTGAGCCCCACATGAGGCTCACTGTTGTCAGCATAGAGCCCACTTCAGATCCTCTGTGCCCTTCTCTCTCTGCCCCTCTGGCCCTTGTGCTCTCTCTAAAATAATTTTTTTTTAATTAAAGAAAAAAGAAGTCTTGTGAAGCCTATATCATAACTTGTACTAAGAGGTCATATAGTAAAATACTCACTCAAACTCGGGTGGACACAATCCTTGTTTGAGACTGTTTCCAAAGACGGACACCAAGTCCTTCCATGCCTGTGGACCTCTATCACTCCTCCATCAACACGTGGAATGTTTCCTCCTCCCGAATCTGAACAGGCTCTGCAATTTGCCTTAACCAACAGAACATGGCAGAGGTAAGCTGGTGATAGCTCTGGGCCTGATCCATAAGATGTCTAGTAGCTTCTACTTTCACTCTTGCAACATGGAGCCTCCACATAAAGGGGCCCAGCTACTGTGGTGGAGAGACCACATGGTTGGAGAGACCCAGAGAGATGGGAGGGGGAAGGGGTGGAGGGAGGAGGACTGGTCAGTCCCCAGCTGTTCCAGCCATCCCAGCCAAGGCAAGCAAATCTGTCCTCGTTTCCTAGGGCTGCTATAACAAACTATTACAAACTGGGTGGCTTAAAACAATAGAAAATTTATTCACTCATACTTCTGGAGGCTACAAGTCCAAAATCAAGGTGTGTAGGTAGGGCTGGTTCCTTCTGCAGGTTCTGAGGGAGAGTGTGTTCCTTGCTTCTTCCAGCTTCTGGTGGTTCCCAACAATTCTTGGTGTTTCTGGGCTTACAGTGACGTCACTCTAGTATCTGTCTCTTGTTACATGGTGTTCTTCCTTTTTTCTCCCTGTCAGGACGCCGGTCATGTTGAATTAGGGCCCATTCTACCCCAGCATGATTTCATCTTAGCTAATCACATCTGCAAAGACCCCTTTCCAAATAACATCACATTCTGAGGTTCTGGGTAAATGTGAAATTTGGGAGATACTTTTCAGCTTTGCACAGAAACCGTCTTGAACATTCCTGCCCCACTTAAGCCTCCAAACCACTGCAGCTGCATGACAGACTCTGAGAGAGATGAGTAGAATCACCCAAATTACTTCTTTGGCCTCCCCAAATTGCAAAATCATAAGCAAATGGACAAATGCTGTTACAAGTCAAGTCAATTTGGGGATGGTCTATTATAGAGATAACCAAACCAGTCCTTTTGAAACCGTAGAAGAGATGATTTTAACAACCACTGACATAATTACTAATAAAATGCTGTTAATGTGTGACTAGAACTACTAGTAAAAGGATGAGAACACTGGGGTTTTTACAAAAAGCTATTGTAACTTTCATGAGATGTCTTACATAGGATTTCATTCCATTGTTTTTCTTCACCCAAGAATTTCTCAGAGGCAATTTCCTGTTTCAAATGAGGGAGGGGGGACATGGGGTGGGGGTGTTTTATGCCTCAAAATGTCTGTAAAATGCTGAGTAACATGGAAGGAATGTGAAAGTCTCTGAGCCAGAGAACAGAGTTTCTTCTTGTGAAGGACAGTGGATTTTACTATATTTGACCCAAGAAAGAAAAAGGAAGGGAATCCATCGTGTTACAGTTGATGTCCTATTCAGAAAAGATTAGAAGGTGAACAGACTTAAGGTGTGAAAAGATAAATGAAGTCTTACTCTGACCAGGTGTTCAGTAATTCAACCCTCACCTAACTTACACAGATAAGTTCAAGTCTCCAATCTTCTGAAAGCCTGGGATCAAACCGGAAGAAGGAAATGATAGGCTGCCAATTTTCCATAACATCCTCCCAAAACTATGCAGGATGCAACAGCGAATGTTAGTCTCTTGTGACCCTCAAAGCGGCAAGGACTGACATAAAACTGTTGTGTAAGAAAATATAATTAATATGGGAGGAAATTCTCCAAAAAGGGGACGGATCATGACTATCATTGCCTAATGGGAAAATAATAGAAATCTTCACATAAAGATAAGGACAAAGGAGATGCAAATTTAAGTCGCAAGGGAGTCTTTTTCACTTACTAACCATGAACATTAGGTAGGTTCCCTGTGCCATTTACCATTTTAGATTCCTCATACGGAAAAGGGGGATAATAATGCCTCACTTTCCTCAAAAGGTCATTGTGAAAAACACGGAATTGTAAATGTGAAAGCACTTTGAACACTCCACAAATACATGACAAAGATAAAGGTTAATTATTACTGTCCAGTATATATTTAAGCACATTTGTGGGGAAAAATATTTTCTGCAGTGCCAATTTCAGACATGGCTGATTAAAAGGAATTTCTAAAGAAACTTGTGGAACGGAGGTGGTGATGGCAGCCATGGTCTCATCAACAGGACGTATTCCATCAACATTATTTCCCACTTCACTTCAACCCTGTCCAGGGATTCCAGAATTTTCTTCTGTAAAATCCTGTATCCTCTGCTCTCATGTATTTGCAATGATAATTATTTGCAATAGGTGAGCTTCCCGTTAACGTCCTCCAAGAAAATCACCCTTCTGGAATCTCCACACCAGATTCAGCTGTCACCTCCTATTTACTGTCAAGTTAAATGCAGACCATTGCCAAGATGAAGCTGGTGTCTGGAGCATATGTTTTCTCCTTAGGGTTTTGATTACCAGCCAGTTTGGCATCTTGGGAGATGATGGGAAGAGAGAAGATTGAATTTATTGCTCTATGCCATCACCCAGTCTTTTGACATTTGGATTTCCAAGCAAGTTCTAAAAGAAACTAATTGTTAAGTCTTGCTAACTATGCATCAGACAACTGACAAATTATGTCATTTTTACAAATAGCTTCTAATATTGATAACATCATTGTCTCCACTTATAAATAAGAAAACTGAAGGTCAAAGGTCTTCAATAACTTACCTAAGGCCACGCAGTGGAATTGGAACATGCACCTAGGTGGTTTAACTCCAGAAGTTAAACTCTTACTATTATGCAATACTCTGCTTGGAATCCTCACATCAGAAACAGAGAACTGATGGCGAAGCTTACACACTCCTACACTTAGTGGCAGCCGCCGTGCTATAGGTGAACACACAGGCTGTGGCATGTTTGTGTCCTTTTGGTAGCAATTTAGGCATCCGGGATCTACTTCTTGTGGTTATGATATAGATGAGTTCTTCTCCTTTTTTTGGTAACCAAATTCAAACTATATGTCCTTTCATATTCAAGCGAATGATTTTTTTCAGTGATAGCTACAATAAAAGTCTAAATTCCTAAGGATGACGTTCAAGACTCTGCGAGCTGGACCTCTCTTGCTTCCTGTCTCACCTCTTCTACTCTTTTCTCTTTTGCACAAAGCACTAGGCAAACCATATTAAGGATCACAACCTGTGGGTCCCATGTCTATTTATTTTCTTATGATGCATTTTTCATGTAGAATGGCTTTCCCATCTAGGATGAATGCTTGTCAATATTTCAAAAACCCTACTAAAAACTGAAATATTAAATTTCTTGGCTTTTTTGGGGCGCCTGGGTGGCGCAGTCGGTTAAGCGTCCGACTTCAGCCAGGTCACGATCTCGCGGTCCGTGAGTTCGAGCCCCACATCAGGCTCTGGGCTGATGGCTCAGAGCC